AATTCCCTAGCTGTAAGCTTTGCTTAGCTACCTCTGTAAAAGCCAATGTCTTCCTTTGCATTTAACTTTGAGTGTGTTACATTCAGAGATGTTGTCTATGTTCACAAAGCTACACATCAACTTAAGATTAAAATAGGATATTGTTTTGAACCACTCATTTAATACAAAAACAAATGCCATATCATTAGATGATAAAAATATGATAAAAAACAACAACAAAGAAACCATGTTTGATTTTTTCCCCCAGGGAAACCACGTTCACTGCAACACCAGTGCAGACTGGTCATCAGGGGACAGATGAGCCCAGAAAGACTGGGCGACCCAGACTACATAAACTCAGGTCCATTCCCACCAGGACTAAAAAGCTACTTAACATACAAAGAATACGATCTGTACGGGAGAATTATTTATCAGGAATGATGGTCTCTTGTAAATGTGAAGGCGCAAGCACTTTGAGTTTAAGTTAGAAATGAATATAAAGTTGACATGACCAGAGATTTCTCGTGTTGTAACTCATGGGTTTAAAACAAAAACTTCCATGTTAAGTGTTTTTAGCACTTTGTCAATGAACACGGAAATGTGAATATTATATCAGAGGACTTTGCCTCTTAAGCAAAGTTTTTTATGATATTTGTGCAATAATAATAATAATGTTCAAGCTACTAAGAACAACATGTTTATATCAGATAAATAATAAATGAATTGATGCCTGTTGAATTCAGACTGTTTTGTCCTCAATAAGTAAACATTCAAGATGTTCTATTTATTTACATTTTAACTTTTAATGTGACACTTTCAAGGTGCACACGCTATTAGTGATTACAAGTCACATTTAAGCACTGCTAAACAGTGGTGACCTGCTTTATCACAATTGAAGTAACTAAAACAGGTCATATCTATTCATAGCTTTATGCGCTGTTAACATCAACAGGCATGCTCGGCCACTTGTCAAGGAGAAACCTTTGACTTATCCATTATCACAGACTCACCACCTCACTTTCAGATAAACTGCCAGACGCATTAGATGTATTCGTAGTTTACAATGTTCTTATCAGTTTGTGTTCAAGTACATATGATTGTATTACCTGATAGAGATTTTTTTATAACTTTTAAAAAACGTAAGAGTATCACGACATCGCAATGTTTGAATCCCACTGAACAATGGTTAGGCAATCAATTTTATTTTATTTATTTGTTTTTTTTTTTGGTGTAATAGTTCTGGATGTCCTGAAATGTAAGTTTACATATAGTTTATTATTAGCTAATTTAATACTGCATACAAATAATTATTATAATAACAAATATCTGACAAATATAAATACCAGAACACAGTGTTGGGGAAAGTTTCAAGTAATGCATCACAATATTAAGTTACTCTCCCAAAAAAGTTACTAATTGTGCTACTGTTCGTTTTTATGGAAAGTAATGTGTTCTGATCTCTTTCAGAACTTACAGATGTTTTTTTTTTACTTTTTTCATTAAACAACCACTCATATAACCTACACCTTAATTTACCTTTAAAAAATGTAGGATAACATTATATATGAGAACTTTCTGAGCCCAGAGCTATACATGCTGTATATACAGATTTATGAAAGCATGTAAAAGAACGTGTTTGTTACTTTTGTACATTTTGTGTCGTTAGTTTAAGTAAATTCACTGTCTATTGAGATTACAATTTCAATAAAACCTAAGATTAGGCTACAAACATTAAATAATTTATATTAACACAAAAACAGATTTTTAACCTTTAAAATGTTTAATAAAAAAATGAACAGTAAGATGCTAAAAGAAAAATCCCCAAATCTAAATAAATCTCAGACTAAGGTAATATTTATTATGCACTATATAAAAAAATAATAATAAAAAAATCAAGCAAAGTAAAAAAGTAACTCATGTAACATTTTTCTCAAAATCACTGAAACAATATGACCTATTTTTAAAAGTATTGCGTTATATGCGTAATATTATTACGTAACGTGCATTACTTATAACGCGTTACCCCTAAAAATGCCAGAACATAACTATATGTGTAGTACACTTAAAAAGATTTAGTAAATCTAATAAATCTTTTTTTTAAGGTAATTGTAAACAATTTATGTGGACTGAATTTAAACAAATTAAATTTAATAATGTGATTCAACTTAATATGTTTGAATTCAGCTTATAAAAATAGTTTGCAACAGTTTGAAATGCACCATTATTTTTTTTTTACGTAGGATCAGCACCTAGTGGTTAAACAAGGTGTTGTAGTCCAAATTCAAAATATTGAAGAACGTTTTTTTGTTTTTTTTTCACCTGGACCCCCTCTCCTCCATCTTGATGCATAGGCAAGTTTCCACAGTTACAATGTTTGGAATATTTTGATGATTTTACGAAAAAAAAATAAATAAATTCTTGTGAATCCACCTAACATTTATGGAGACTGCTACAGTCCTCCTGAGGTCAAATGTTTGGCTGCATTCACATATATTGAGGAAGCCTTCAGGACAGAAATGAAATGCAATGATTTGCATTAAGGAAACCAGAGGTGCTGAAATGTAATTGAGGAAAAATGGCAGTCGGTGGTTACATAGATCAAATACTGACATTCCGACACACAACACACACTTTTAATTGAAAATGTTTTTCAAATAAATATTAGCATGGTATGTTTCTTAACTGAAAACATATATATATATATATATATATATATATATATATATATATATATATATATATATATATATATATATATATATATATATATATATATATATTTGTATTTTTAAACTTAAAAAAAAGTCAAAAACTCTATTTTGGTCATGCCCAAAGCTTTGAGTTTTGGAGCGAAACACATTATGCTGTGTTCAAACCAGACGCGGATTGTGCGGATAAATCGCGATATTCGCACGTAAATAGCAGCGTGAACATTTGAGTTTACTTGCTTTATTCACACGTCAAATTCACTTCAGAACAGTCACGGATTCGCGTGATGAGCAGTGCTTCTGTCTGCCTGGTGACTCTAGCTTTGTTGCTAAATGGCTAACATGAATTTTATTAAGAAAATAACAGTGTTTATGTGCTTTATGAAGGCTGAAAAACAGCGTCGATACGTTTAAGGCCGTGTCTGAGTCCACTAGATCCTTTCAGAGGTGCATTCAGCTCTGTGAGTTCATAAACTTCTCCAGAAACAATACCTGAATGACGGAGGCTTTCAGCGGTGCTTCGACTGAGCTGAGCCCAGTTTGATGAACTGTTATCAGGGTCGGCTGGAGGATTTCCCCTGGGACACCAACAACAGATGCTATATCACAATCACGCCCCCACAAGGGCAAGCTCCTGACTGGTTAACGCAGCGCGAATGTCCGCCCAAGATCAGATTTTTGAACTCCAGCGATTTGCATTGACGTAACATGTAAATCACTCACGCTTGACGCGTGTTCAGCATCTGGTGTGAACGCAGCATTAGGCTTATTCTTGTGACCTCACCCCTGACCCAGAAATAGCTGTGTTTTGGTTGGTTTACCATGGTGGTAGCTAAAAACATGATTCTTTGTCTATGGAAAAAGGCATCAAAATCACTTTTTAAATTCTGGCTTTCTGAACTCTCCAGCACATTGACTTAGACACAGACTTAGACACAATTTTTATTGCTGGTTTCAAGCTACATGGAAACCTTTTCTTATTTATCTGTCCGATACAAGTTTAAAGATAGGACCCTTTCATTGTTTGCAAGACTATATTGTCTCCACTGGCCTTGTTAACCTATGTGTAAAACTGGAGGAACTGATCTTTTTTTCTTGTCTTTTTTTGTTAACTTTTTCTTTTCTGTCTTAATAGTTGTTGTTCCTTTTTTTGTACGGCTCTGTTTCTTTAAGGTCAAAATAAAAAAAGAAATATATAATGTAATGTAATGTGTATTTATATAGCGCATTTATTGTGTATGGCCATACACCCAAAGCGCTTCACAATCATGAGGAGGGTCTCTTCACACCACCACCAGAGTGCAGCATCCACTTGGACAATGAGACGGCAGCCACAGGAAAATGGCGCCAGTGCGCTCACCACACACCAGCTATTGGGGGAGTGGAGAGTGATAGAGACAATTCGGTGGATGGGGATGATTGGGAGGCCATGATCGTAAGGGCTGATTGAGAGACTTTGGCCAGGAGACTGGGTTTACACTCCTACTCTTAACGAGAAGTGCCATGGGATTTTTAATGACCACAGAGAGTCAGGACCTCGGTTTAATGTCTCATCCGAAAGACGGCGCCCACTGACACTATAGTGTCGCCTTCACTGTACTAAGGCATTAGGACTCACGCAGATCACAGGTTGAGCACCCCCTGCTGGCACCACTTCCAACAGCAACCTAGTTTTCCCATGTGGTCTCCCTTCCTCCAGGCTCAGCCCTGCTTAGCTTCAGAAAGCAACCGGTCTTGGGCTGCAGGGTGATATGGCTGTGGCCAAAAAAAAAAAAACTTACAGCACCTTAATATTATATATATTATATTTAACACCACATCTGTATGAGCTTATCATAAATGTAACTTCTTTAATCCATATAGTGTAACTTAACATCATCATAGTTGGGTAAATTTGGAGCGCAGTGAACTGGAGAGTACCACAAAGATTTTCTTATGGTATTCTTATTTATTAAATAAATAAATGTGTGAGATCAACAACAGCAGCCAGAAGACAACATCAGATTTACTGTCCCGCCCATTGGCGCTGCATTACAAACACCTTGCTTTATAAATGTAAATAGGTTTTCTTTTTTTTAACTAAGATATTAAAAACTTAAGGAATTAAGGTGCTAAATAAGGTGTGAAAATTAGATTAGTTGAGCCATCAGGTCTTAGTAGCTCTAAATAAATTCATATTTTTTCTGTAATCTCTGTGTCCTCATTAAAAGACACCATCATATGCAGATTTTCATGTTTCTCAGTTGTGTACCCTCCCCTTATTTTGCCTCACCAGCTACCCAGATTAGACTAACAGTGCACACACACTTACATCAGCATAGGACACTAATCTCCTATACAAGTATTGACAAAGGCAGAGTAAAACTTCAATCACACAAAGGATTTATAGAGTTACAACTATGAGCACCTCTGGGTATAGAAAAGGGCTTGGCAAGCATGAAGAGATTGAAGAAGATGAACTTTTGGCCTCACTTACCAGCGAGGAGCTCCAGGAGCTAGAGAAAATAATGGCTGAAATGGAACCTGATGAGAACATACCCATTGGGCTACAGCAAGAAGACCAGACAGCCAAAAAGTCAACGGGAACATTTTGCAGAGGGTCGTTGCTGAAGTACTGGGAGGACGAGACTCAAAGATTGTTAAAGGTAGGGTGTGCAAGGTCTCTTACATAACACACAAAAAATGAGTTCGTGGAGCTTCATGCTAACAAGATCAAAATATGATTTAGGTGTTTTAAATGGCACCTAGGTTACCCCTTTTTTCAGATTTATTATGAATCTTTTGTGTCTCCAGAATGTGTCTGTAAAAGTTTCAGCTTAAAACACCCATCAAATTTTTTATTATACCTTTTATAAGATTCTGCTTTATACGTTTTTGCACTGGGTGGCGGTTTTGCTGTTTTGCACCTTTAAGGCAAGTCCTCTCCGCCCACCTTTTCTACGTGCCTTTCTGCGTGCCTTAATCTCCTTCCTCGGCTGCGTCAGACAACAAACAGACATTAAGGAAGCAGATATCATGTAGCGTTTGTGAGAAATACTACAGTAAGAACTTTACCAATGAGTATTTGATGCATTTGCTGTGTTAAGTTACAACGAGGAGTCTGACACAATGTTGTTACAAAGTTCACCCACACACACACCCAGCAAGGATACGATACGCACATATATACAGACAGCACGTTTAGCTTTGTATTCTTTTTGCACGCAAATGTGACAGGATACAGGCTAAATTTCATCGCTGTATGGATATCTGTTATGTTAGTGTACAAAATAAGCCTGATTTAACGTCCACAAATTGAGATTGAAGCGTCTCCTTTTATAAATGTTCTGACATTTAATCAGCTGTGCTGATTAATTAAATCTGAAGTAAATTGCTGTAATTCATTACACACATGCACTGTTTTAAAACATTTTAAACTTGTGAAACTCGCTCTTCTTGATCACATTTGATGATGATTGATGATCCTAGCAAACTGGACAGACCTTTTATTCTGGGTTGCTTTGCGCTCGTCTTCTCTTGTTGATCTGATTATACACGTAACTACCGGGACATGTTACGCAGCTGTCAATCAATTCGGTGGGCGGGGGGACTGCACTCCTACGTCAAGTTGCGGTCGGTCTGAAAACCTTACCAATTGGTCTATTGGTTTTATGTTGTTAAATTGAAAAAAAAAAAAGGACTGGGTGTGTTTATATCAGCCCAATATGATGGTCTATAGCAGGGGTGGCAACCCTGTTCCTGGAGAGCCATCTTCCTGCAGATTTCAGTTGCAACCCATATCAAACACACCTGTCTGTAATTATCAAGTGGTGTTCAGGTCCTTATTAATTGGTTCAGGTGTGTTTGATATGGGTAGCAACTGAAATCTGCAGGAAGGTGGCTCTCCAGGAACAGGGTTGGCCACCCCTGGTCTATACACTATATCTACACATATGTCTGTCCAAACAGCTTGAAAAGTAGATTTTTTACCATAGGTGCCCTTTAAATAAGACACACTAAATGAGCACTGCAGTGAGTCCCAGGAGTTTTAGATTTGTTGTTTTTATCAGCTATTCTGACCACATACAGTTTACAGTCTTTTTGTCTTGACATCAAGTGTGAATTTTCTTTTTCTCTCAGCTGTTGCCATTTCATTATAGTTTAACCTTGACACACAGACACTCCTATGGAAGATGATGTAATCGCATCCCATGTCTACTGTGGACAAGTTACTTTTTAAATGTGTCTGTGCATCATGTATTCCATAGCAAGATTATTTCTATTTAGATGATCAAAAAGAAAAAAATCAGACCTCAATATCATTCTTGTTTCGTTTTTATTAGTTAATGAAAATGTCAGTATATTATAGTTGTTGTCATCATCACTTAATTTTTAAGTGACTAGAGTGACTAGAATGACTCCGACTTGCACTATTTCACACAAGCGAAATAGTGGATGTGTCTAATATAAATCAGTCTTTACATTTCTGTAAAAAATTTCATCTGAAATGCTGCAAATCTTTGTTTTTAAATAATAAAAAAAACTAAGTTCACCTGTGTTCTCATGCAGGGCCAGGGGTAGAGAGTAATAAATAGTGTTTCTGAAGGACGACCAACACTGCATGTTTCAGATGTCTCCTTTGTTTGTTACACCCATTACTGTCTTTCACTTTCTTCTAATGAGCTTATGATCTGAATTAGGAGTGTTTGGTTATGAAGACATAAAAAACTCGCAAAGCTGGTGGTCTTCCAGGAACGTGGTTGAAAAACACTGAACATGTCAACCGGAACAATCCCTTTTTGGAGCTTTCTTTTAAAGATCTGGTTATCTAAGTCAGGCAAGACATACATGAAAAATGTACACAACAGGGGATCATGAGGATTACAGCTAAGAATTGCTCTAAGGCAGTCCACTGAATGCAGAGATGTCCAAATCATGTAATGACACTTTCCTAAAAAGTTTACTTTCAGCCTGCTGAAAAAAAAAAAAAAAAAACCTCCCCCGAAGTTTGTAGTACTCCTAAAAACAGATTACTTTCTTCTTCCTTGAGAGTTTTTCACCCTTAGGGCATAAGAATAATCATTGTTATTTTGCTTTATAAACATTGAGTCAATCAGATGTTCTTGATTTGATTTCTAAAATCACTGCAATAAGACAATTTAATTAAAATGTTACTTTCTTCAATTTAGTGCACCAAATAACTGCAACAATGCCTCCACAGAATAGGTATTGCTTGTGTAGCTGTCTCAGCTGGTCATAGTCTTTCTTAATTAAGCTTCCTTTGCTTGAAGTATGCCAATGCTAAATCTTGTCTTTCTATGGCAACACACAGGACAGCATGGATGAGTGCCAGACAGATAAGTGCGAAGAGGAATGTGCCAGTGAAGAGCCGGAGGATAATAAAGAAAAGGGGGGTGACAGGGTGAAGCAAGCTAGGTCAAACAAATGGAATTCTGTGGAGCTATCACGACTAGATAGCGAGAGCGCTCGAAAATATAATGATGCCCCCCACTACCCTGTTACACTGGACGGGTCAAGTTGTAACCCCACTGATATCGATAAGACTTTAGAGCACGTATTGAGCAATGCCACTTCCTTGACTGAAGTCAACCTTAACAATGTTGAAAACTTATCCCAAGGTGTTTTGGTGGGCTTTGCTGATGCCTTAACCTCGAACACTCATGTTGAGGTTTTCAACCTTGCCAACACCCATGCAGATGATCAAGTAGCTTTGGCCTTGGCCAAAATGCTGAAGGCGAATAGTAGCATTACCAGACTTAATGTCGAGTCCAACTTCATTTCAGGCAAAGGCATCTTAGCTTTGATTAAGTCACTTCAGTATAACAACACACTGACTGAGCTCCGATTCCACAACCAGAGACACATCTGTGGAGGCCAAGTAGAGATGGAAATGGTGAAACTGCTAAAGGATAACACTAGCCTATTGAAACTAGGATACCATTTTGAGTTACCCGGCCCAAGGATGAGTGCAACTGGTATATTAACCCGCAATCAGGACCGCCACAGGCAAAAGCGGCTCCAAGAAAGAAGAGAAAAAGACAAAAGTCAAGAACAAGTGAAGTCTTGGAATACTGTGGACAAAATGCAGTCATTTCAATTCCAGATTTCAACAGACAAGCACACAACCCAAGGGAAGCAGCACTTGGTCTCTTCTTATTTGCCACAACCACCTCATAATCAACCAAATGGTGTGATGAATGTGCCAATGAGGCAAATAGCTGAAACGGTCAAGCAACAAGAAACCGAAAACGTGGGTCGAATCCAGGCTAATTCAAATAAAAAGCACAATCTCACTGGCGACAAGCATGGCAAGAAAAAGCTTCATGATGATAATACAGAGCATTCAAGAAGAAAAGATGACCTAAATAGTCTGGAGGAGTCAACCCGTGATGATCTACTGGCAGCAATTCGCGGCAGCAACATTGGTTCACTACGAAGGGTAAAAAGTTGAGCATTTGGCCAAGACATCACAAGTAGCCAAGGAAAACAAAACAGTGCCCAAGATTGTAATTCACTCAAAAGGACAGGATTGGAACTTCCAAACTAACATTCTGGTGAAAACCAACTCTGCCAAAACAGGCCTCTTGAGAAACTTTAAGCAATAATTACCTATTTCATACCAAGAATTGGAGGATTCATTCAGTGTTTGTGTTCTGACTAAGGTTATTCCAGTTCCAGCAGGAACTCATTACCCACACAGCGGAAAATTTTTATCTTCTAGTATGAATTTAATATGTAGACATTTCTGTTTTAATGCACTAACTAGGTCTCTTGGTTTTAATGTACATGCCAATCTGTTTTAAAAATTATATTTTAACTGAAGAGTTCATACCATTTCTTGTTCTCCTTAAAAGCTATATCAATTCCAGACGACTCGGGCAGTTAACTTTTATATACAATGTGGATTTTGCTCCATGTAACTGACAATATCCATTTTGTTTTAACACTAAGCCAGCATTTCCCTCCCTTTCCCCCCATCTTGCAGGTCCTAAAGGTACAAAACCTCTCAGATAATTAATCTGTATAACATAAACACAAATGAAAACTTGGGCATGCTTCCGAATTTGACCTGGGTTATTTTTACACACATTTAATACACACAATTTAGTAAAGCTAAAAGGGTCATGAAACACCAACATGCGATCATTGTGTAAATTCAGCGTGGAGACTTGATGTCTGTACTGGCTGGAACAATGTGACGTCTTTGAATTTTCATCATTGATGAGACTTAGTTTGACCCAATCAGCACACACTATTGTGTATGAGGTGCAACTTCATTAATATGCATGATGGCTTCAAAGACTGTTTTTACTTTTTACTTTTACAGTGTTGAGACGTCAGAGAGATGCCACGTTGTGTTGCCAACCATAACTAAAACAATCGGAAGAAGAAAAATTGTTCGGAGACATGAGACATCAGTGTTGCATTTATAAATGTGCTGCAACAAAGGTTTTGTTTCCATTTTCCTGTGATGAGAGCACAGCCCACGTTTGGGTCCACATTTGTGGATTACAGTGGTCTGCTAACATGCGACAAAGATATGTTCATAACATTGTGTGAGCTTTTCGCATCTGGAAATGCTGAAATCCGCATTTGCCACTCTTCTTAGTCTCCTTGCCGCCCCTAGCAAGATGCCGCCCTAGGGTGCGTTTCCTAAAACCAACTAAGGTCACAAGTTCTATCATTTCAAACCTAGTTAGTTAATTTGGCATTTTTCAAATCCGTTGTTCCAGCGAACATTCGCAAACTGCGTCATAAACTTTTATGCTTGCAACTACACCTCTAGAGCTGTAGTTTGCAGCAGAGTTCCATTTCCAGTTACCCACAAATTTTCCTATATTTGGAAAAAAAAAACATTAAAGTCATCTCTCTTAGTTGTAATAAAAATTACAAAGTATTTCAACAGTTCATTTTTAGCAATCTTTATATTGAAAATTGTGCTGCCTTTGCAGTGCACTATGAAAACAAAATTTTGAACAGAGCCGCTGCTCATGAAACAAAAAAAAATTAAATTAAAAAATAAAAAATAAATATATATACAATATATAATATATATATATAAAGCATACATTAAGTTTATATTTATATAGGCTATTTATTAGGAAATTTGTCTGTAGCCTACTGTTTAAGACATGAGCCTAGTGGTTAGCACATTTCTGCAGTGCTTTGAATGTGTGAAATTGTAAAAGTATACTTAAAAAAATAAACTAATTAAACAATAAAAAATAAACAATATCCTAATCATTTATTCATTCATTCATTTTCTTTTCGGCTTAGTCCTTTTATTAATCCGGGGTCGCCATGGCGGAATGAACCGCCAACTTATCCAGCACGTTTTTTTTAAGCAGCGGATGCCCTTCCAGCCACAACCCATGTCTGGGAAACAGCCACACACACTCATACACTACAGACAATTTAGCCTGTACCGCATGTCTTTGGACTGTTGGAGAAACTGTAGCACCCGGAGGAAACCCACGCGAACGCAGGGAGAACTCCATATAGAAACACCAACTGACCCAGCCGAAGCTCGAACCAGTGACCTTCTTGCTGTGAGGCGACAGCACTACCTACTGTGCCATTGCTTCGCCCAATATCCTAAATAATAATAATAAAATAATAAAGATAATAATAATAATTATTATTATTATTAATATTATTACTTTTCTTAATACATAGCCTACTGTAAATTACAATCATTAACAATTTACATTATATAAGTTTAGAATACGTGTTAGCTAAGTGGTTTTATGTTTTAGCATGGAATTATAATAATTCTATAATAATATTCTCAGAGTGCATGTTTTTACCAAAACTAATATTGGATTTTTTTCAACTGCGTGTGTGTGTGTGTGTGTAAAGCAATATAATTTGAATCCAAAAATGATGGGTATTTTCTCTAAAGAAGTTGTTACTCCGCCTTGTTTAGAGCGTCCTTGTGGAGGTTTTACATTGTAACTAATGTGGTTCAAACGATGAATCTGCGACAGAGAAACAATGGTTTTAGGGAAACACTTGTCAATACATCGTTCATTTCACAAACGATGCAATGTACAATAATAGTTCAGCCATGAGTCATGTCGTTTTTGAGAAATGCACCTCTGAGTGATTTCTGACTGCACTGCACTGCATCCATCTCCCCTGCGTCCGTGTTTGTGTTGTCGCAGTGAAAATCAGCGCACGCATGTAATGAAACTCCCCTTTTCATGCAAACCCTTCCCTCTTTTGCCACTTGACACTCACACCTAAACAAAGCAGGACTCACCCACTTTCCTGACAGCCCTTTAATTTTACATGTAAAGTTGTAAATGTTATTACTAAAAAGAAAACCACCAAATCTCAGGTTTGTAAATATTACCATTTATTTAAGTATAGAATTTAGTGTTTTCTCTCCACATTCCACTCCTCTTGTAAGATCTGATGTCAATTTTACAATTTATTTCAGCACTATCCTTACAGGACAAGGACAGCAAATTCAGTCCAGACAAACAATACTGTTAAACCAGCATTAATTGTACACAAAGGTTTGCCTCTTTTATTTATTTTTTGACCTTAAATGTAGCTGTCAGATAAACATTGACCTGTAAAAGCTTGTAACAAACGGAACTTTAAATTGCATTTTGTGAAGTGCTTTTTTTTGTCGTTTTTACTTGATATGACAGGAAATTCTATATTTGTGTGAACTGATGGCTTTCACATTTAAGAGCAAGCTGTACTCATGACTTTGCCAGTTGGAATCTACCGTATATTATTTTCTCGTTAATAAAGTGATCTCAAAAACTCCAAACTGTCTACTTTGTGACGTGCAATGTAGTGTGACGCTGATCGTGATTACCACAGAAATCATACTTAGAGTTCAGCCAATGTGTTCTCTTTCCTGCAGTGAATTTCCTTTTTTTTTTCTTGTTATTCGTGCAAAAATATATATAGCCTCAATATATCAGCCTGGTGTACATTTACAAGGGAAACAATACAGGGGACATACATATTCTGATAGGAGAACCTCTTACCAAATCTAAGAATGCTAAACTAGGATTTGAATAAGAAAATCGAAGGTACAGAAAAGTAGGGTATGAAAATAGTGTTATCTAAATCATTAATCAACAATTAATAAGGACGTGGAGCGTCCCGTCCATCTCCCTTTCCCCACTCGCAGGGAAACAAAAACATTCAGGTCAACAAATCATGAATTCCTGGCATAAAATCTTCACATGGTTATTCCAGGAGATTATTTTACAGAGGATAAATGACAATACTTTACAGATTACATGAGGTATTGCACAGATTATTAAAAAAAAGGCAACAAAAATATACAGCGATTTGGGGGGAAAAAATGCACAGAATGAGAGTAAAATTTGGGGAAGTGAGAATTTAGTATCATTTACTCTACTGGGTGGGGTTAGTGTTGGGGGATTAATCATCCCATTCGTCATCGTCCTCGAAGTCTTCATCTTCGTCATCATCCTCATCTTCATCTGAAAAATCAAAAAAATAAATAAATAAATGCATGCCCAATGTAAATAACTTATTACTTAATGACAACAACATACAGTAAAAAACAGAAGTTTACATACATTCTAATAAAAGGTACATAACCATTTTTAAAAACAATGTCTGATGGTAAATCATACTCAAGGTTTACTATTTTAGGTCCATTAGAATTACCTAAACAATTTACATTTGCTAAACACCAGAATAATGAGATTTATTTTGGAGAGTTTTTTATTAATTTCTAGAGAGTCAAAAGATTACATACATTTCCTTGTTTTTTATTTTTATTTTTTGCTTTGCTTTTAAACTATAATTTTGGTCAAATGTTTTGAGTATCATTCCACAAACTTCTCACAATAGTTTAAAGAAATTTTGGCTAATTCCTCACGACAGAATTGGTGTAACTGAGTCAGATTTGTAGGCTGTCTTGCTTGCACAAGCTTAACTCTGCCCACAAATGTTCTGTAGGACTGAGATCAGGACTTTGTGATGGCCACTCCAAAACATGTCCTTAAAGCACATTTTAACTAATTT